CCCAGACGGAACCAGGGACACCAGGGGCTCCTAGAAGCAGCTCTCACAGCAGCCCCTCATCCTCATCTCCCCCTCCAGGCAGAGCAGGGGCTGCTCCGAACCCTTGGCGAGAGCGCCAAGGCTCGATCCTTGCTGGCAAATTAAAGGCTCTGTCAAACGCTCAGTCCAGGAGTTGCTCTGCCAGGAGTGCTGGACTTGCCTCCAAAGCTGCTCTTGCCAAAACTTGGCTGTAATAAACCATTTGCTTTAATGCTGCTCCCTCAGTAAGGAAAATAAGTTTGCCTCTTACAAAAACATCCATTAGGGATATTACCCTGCCTGGCTCACCAGCTGCTCATAAGGAAACGTCAAGAAAGGCAGGGAGGACAAAATCTCACAAAACATCCTACAGGTTCCCAGCTCCGAGAGCCCCGGCCCCAGCGAGGACGTTAACGCCTCGCAGAGCCACCTCGGAGCGGGCGGATCAGGCACCAGCCTGGGAATAATCTCTTGCCAGTGTGGGAAGCACTCGACTCCATCAGGGAGAATAAATAATCCAGCTGTCAGCACGACCAAGGACGGAGCCTCCTGTGCCGGCTGGGTAGGAGCATGGAGATATCTGTGGCCCAAGGCGTCTGGGGACAGGATTTGCAGGAGCAGAAGTAACTGATGCCTAGACAGGACACAGTGCTGGCAAGGGGACCCCGGCGTCCTGGCTCAGTGCTCCCCGCATCCAGGGAGCTGCTGCCTCCCGTTGCAGGGGGGCTCGGGGGCTCAGGGGGACAGCGGGTGACCCCGCGCAGCCTGTCCTGCCCGCACAGCCACAGCTCGTCACCCGAGAGCAGTTTCTCCGTGTCCATCCTGCTGCTCGTGCTCTGCTCCAGCCAAGGACGTGCAAACCTTGCTGGAAAAGCCCCCTGGTCCTTCTCGCCAGCCCCGGGTCCTGCTCCAGCCCCTCTCAGCTATTCCCATCATGTGGGGAGGCCGGTGGTTTCTCGTTCGCCCTCAGCTACCTCCCCTTTGCCCCTGTGACCAGAGAGACCTCGTTCTGCTGGACACAGCAAGCCAGGGGTTGCTGTCACATCAGCTGCAGCAGCAAAGCCCACGTCATCGCTGCCCGGCAAAGAGAGACACCCAGGGAACAGGCTGGGGGGATCATTGGGATGGCAGCATGGAACAGACCTTGCTCGGGGGCCAGCATCACCGCTCGGAGAGGCAGCAAGAACGGCACAGAGGAGACTATGACCAGAAATGAGCACTGCAGGCAACTGCCTGCCCCACTGAGACCAGGGTTCAGCCCCATGGGGGAGGGAATGTCAGGGAGAGAAGAGCCCCGGAGCTCCTGAGCGAGGAAAGCTGTGGATAAGTCGCCTGTGGAGTCCCCGAGCAGCGATTCTGCACCCTGTGCTCCCCATGGTGCAGAGCACCCTGAAGAGCAGGGCCCCGGGCAGCTCCCGAGCTGCTCCCAGGCCCGGATCACGCAGCGAGCGGTACCGGTGCCGGGGCTGCTCCTGGGGACGCAGCGCAGGGGCAGCCCTACCTTTGTGGTTCATGGTCTTCAGGCACTGCTTGCTCTGGATGTCCCACAGCCGGACTGTTTCGTCGTGCGAGCCGGAAAGCAGGAGGCTGCCGTCTGTGGAGACCGACAGACACGTCACCTGGTTCCTGGAACGGGGAAGAGAAAAGGGAGATTAAACTCCGAACAGCCCCAGGTCCCACAGAAATAGGAGCGATGCAGGCAGACGTGGCTACGAGGTATTTGGCAAGCGTGTCTGGCTCCTCACCTGTGCCCTTTGAAGAGCTTCCCGTTCTCCCGCTCCGTCTGGAAGGTCCGGTCTCTTTGCACTGGCTGCAGAAACGATGGAAGGAAGAAAGGCAGGTTTAAACCCAGGGAGATGAGGGCAGAAGCTCCATCGCTGTGCCTGGACGGGCAAGGGGTGATTTTC